ATGTCATTAGATTTCTTATATGAATATAAATGTTAATTAGTAATAAGTAAGCAAATATACTAAAATAATAATTCTTATATACGAGTCCTAAACAATTTGAATTTAAATATTTTAGAAATTGAACTTGAAAATTCGATCATTTTATCAATGATTAAATGTTTTTATATAAGCTAAACAAAATCTTTATGGAAAAATACAAAGATAACTTATAATCAATGTAAAATTTTGAGTATTTCAGCCATGAATAAATTTTTATAGTAAAAATTAGTCAATTTACAAGGTGACTTATGTACAAAGCAAGTATAGCTTCAATGTTGTTTTTTATAAAACAAATTTTTTTTAGATATTTTATTTGAAATTTCTTAATTATTTCATTTAATATTTAAACAAAAGTAGGAACAAATTTAAAAATTAAATTTGCTTTGATAGCAATTTCGATAAAAATTAGTCACAAATAACTAAGTCATTAGCATGATCAAGAAGCCTTTGAACCTGATCATTTGTAGCAAAAGTTATTTTGAAAAAACAATTTTATCGACAAGATGTGATCAGAGGACTAATAACATTGATAAATGCGGTGATCTTATCAGCAAAAAAACTTTTAAATGACAGTATCAACATGTGTGTTAATAATTCTATCACCAGCAAATTTTTTCACGGTAACCTTAAAAAACGCTTAAAGCATTACTTGTAATTTAAAAAAGTTGAGCTGTGTATTTTGGATATAATACAAATAAGTAATTGTGGCACACTTGCTTTCAACAATTAACAGTAAGTAAAAATAGAAGTATATATATGTAAGTGAATAAATTAAAATTCTTGTAAAGGTATTAAACTTTTCAAAATTGTTACACGCAAAATTAATAATTTGTATCATCATCAAAATATTAATAATATTTTTAATTTTTCGCTTTACTTTTACAGTGAAGAATTTTTGATAAATATTTGTTAAACAAAATTCAAGTAAAAGAAAATTATTGCAATATACATTTCAGGAATAATTAAGAAGGATAAAAATTGATAGTTGATAAGCCTAGCCTTAGGTGCAGGGATTAGCTGTTTAGGACGGATTTTAATTTTAAATACAAAGCTCTACTTAAGTAATTGAAATTGTTCTCTAAGTAACTGCAAAAGAATTTATTTCTGAAAAGTTATATGACGAGTTTGTTTGTGTATGCTGCCTTTGTATTTGTTCAGGTTTTGGCTTGATTATAATGTAATTATTTTGACAAGAGATATATTTTATTTTTAAGCTTTATATGTACGTACATATGACGTATATGACGTGAATTTATGAAGGTGATTATCATATAATGTGAAAACAATACAGTGAAAAAATTGTATTTAGATATACAAAAGTTTGTAATGAAAATAAACTCAACTACTCACAAGAATCTATTATGAATCAAAGTTTCAAGTCTGATGGCTATTGTACAATTTATTTGAAAAATTAATATTAAAAGCAGAAATCGTTAACAAATTTAAAGACTATTGGATTAAATAATATGTGCATTAACCACAAATGCTAACTATTTCAATGATTTAAGAGATAAATTCAGATTACGATTTTAAAATTTGCGTCACTTATCAGTTTGTTACTTTCAAGTTAGTTTAACCTAAAAAAATTTTAAAGTAAACTGCCAGTGAATATTTTTTTATTCTAAAAAGAGCTGAAATTACTAACTTCATATTGCAAGAAGCTTTTAATTATTAATGCTTTTAAGCTTTTAATTATAAATGAAAAAAGCATTTTTATTTTTATAACACTTTTCTATTATAATTAATGTTAATGATGATAGTAATTATGATAATAGCAATAAAGTAACAATAATGCTAACAGCAGTAAAAGTAATAATAATGCTAATAGCAATAAAAGTAATAATGTAATAATAATAATTATTATTATTATGACAATAACAAATAGCAATAATGAATAATAACAAATAATTTCAATAACAGAGTTCTGATATGGATAAAGTCCTGATCCAATTCTTGATCATTAGATCAAATGCGCATCTCATCTGCATTTAACAATTTCATCTTGAAAATTTTTAGGACATTATAACATTTTGCATACATTTTAAATTTCGTTCAAATGAAAGAATTAAAAATTACCATAAGCGATGTAAAAGCAATTCATAGTTTTTAGTACTAAAAATAATTACTTCATAATAATTGAAAATTATTCAAGAATGTAATTATACTTCCTAAATTTAATACTAAATAACATGATAGATTCACAGGAAAGTAATTAATTAATTATTCAAACTTAGTGAGTTAAGTAAAAGTAAAGTATTAGATATTTATGTTAAGTCGTAAAAATCTAGCAAAATGAGAGTTTCTATGAGAAGAATAATCTTTTATATGCTTTAAAATGATTAAAAATTTCATTTTAAAAATACCTTCAAGTGATCAAAAAAGTCATTACAAATTGAAATTACGTTAGCGCGTGGGAAGCAAACAATATTGGCCCATTTTCTTATTTATGTAAATGAGACTTTTTTGCTTATAAATGAAATTTTAAAACCAATTTAACTCCTTAATCAAAATCGAGATTAAACAGAATTTGTACACTTTTCATATTATTCATTTTCATCTATCATAAAGACTAAAGATTTAATATTAACAAATTAAAAAATAAATAAATAAAAGATAAAAATGATTTAACGTGTTGCAAAAATAAAAATACAATATTAAAAATATTCATGATTTTTGCAAATTAGTTTAATTTATTAAAAAATGCTATTTTTTGCCAAAATATGCAAAATATATTTACCAAAATTAATACCAAAAATAAATTTACAGTCACAGATATGATATAAATTTTCTACTCTATTAAATACAATACTTTATAAAATTATAAAATTTATTTTTTGCAGAAGTTTAAATGACGTAGTAAATCTCCAAGTTTTATTTGCTTTAGTTGAATTTGAAAATAAACAGTAAGTGAATGTTTTTCAGAAAGAATTTTTTACAACGTTAAAAAAGATTTATGTTTTAGAAAATAGACTTAAAAACGTTTTCACTATTATTTATTAATTCGATCTAATCATTGTTTCAAGTTTACAATTAAATAATTCTGCATTAAAGGATAAAAAAATTTTTGAGTGATAAGCTGAATGATAAGCTGAATATAGTTTTATAAGATTAAGTTGCAGTTTTATAGCATTTTTGATTCAAATCAGATCTGTACTTTTTCATAAACTGATACTAATTACATTTGTAAATTCAGACTAATAATTGTTATAAATTCAGATCTAA